CTGGGGGGTTCAGGACACTAGGTGCCGGCTCCTGCCCCGCCGGTGACTCACAGGAAGGGCGGCGTAGGCTCCTGGGAGGCCCTGGCAGAGCGGGAGCCCCACCTGCACGCCGGCCTCCGTCTGGAGGGTGACGGCCCAGGCAGGGTCTTGGGGGGCGACTCCTGCTCCCCTTGAACTCCAGAGTGAGCTCATGGTCACCCAGGCGCTGCCTTTTCCCGGAACCCGGAGGGGAGGCAGGCGCCCAGGGCAGCTCCGGGCCTCCTTGCTGAGCCCCCGCCCCCGCAGGCCTCTCCCTCGTCGTGGGCCTGGTTCTCTACATCTCCAGCATCAATGACGAGATGCTCAACAGGACTAGGGACGCAGAGACCTACTTCAGCTACAAGTACGGCTGGTCCTTCGCCTTCGCCGCCATCTCCTTCCTGTTAACCGAGGTAAAGCCTTTCGAGGGGCTGGGTGGGGGCGGGGCTGCTGCGAGGGGGGAGGAGGAGGAGACCCGCCGGGCTCCACCCTTCACCCCGCCCCCACCCCTCCTCTCCCCGCCCGATCCCCCACCCCATCCCCTCCTCCCCCATCCCCTCCCCTCTGGCCGCTGCCCAGGCCCCCAGCACCAGCGCCTTCCCTCCGCCTCCTCCCGCAGAGCGCGGGGGTGATGTCCGTGTACCTGTTCATGAAGAGGTACACCGCCGAGGACCTGTACCGGCCTCACCCCGGCTTCTACCGCCCGCGTCTGAGCACCTGCTCCGACTACTCGGGCCAGTTCCTGCACCCGGACGCCTGGGCCCGGGGCCGCAGCCCCTCCGACCTCTCCAGCGACGCTTCCCTGCAGATGAACAGCAGCTACCCGGCGCTGCTCAAGTGCCCGGACTACGACCAGATGGCCACCTCCCCGTGCTGAGCCGCGGCCTCCCCTGGACCGTGGCCCGGACAGCCTTCCCTGCCCCCGCTGGCCTGTGGTCCCCGGCGCCCCCACACCCAGCTGCTGCCGCCCGACCCGTCCCCCTCCCCGCTGTCCCCGCTAGCTCCTGCACCAGTTTCAGGAGCCGGAGAGAGGGCTGACCGCTGGAGAGCGGGGGTGTAGCCAATCACTCAGCCCTCTGCTCCCCGGGAGAGGTGGCACCACTGGGTCCTCCCACCCCTGACGTCTCGGCCAAGACCAAGGCCAGCGCTGCGATGCCAGGCTCTTTCCAGAGATGCAGCCAGTCCCCTGCGCTTGCCTCCTGGCCTGGCCCGCCCTCGTGGTCTGGGCTGTGGGGCCAAAAGGTGACTGATCCAGAGGTCCGGCTGGTTCAGAGCTGCCAGCTGAATCCTTGCAAAGTCCTTCATCCCTGGTGGTCACTGCACTCCACTAGGACACACCTGTCTCCTCTCTCCAGCTCCCAGGGCCCCACCAGCCTGAGGGCGCTTTCCTCTTCTCCCACCAGAACTCAGCTGCCCCAAACGCTCCCAGAGGGCTTAAGGGAGTCTGGACCACTCGGATGAGGTCACAAAGAGACATTAGCGGCTGGTGACGTCTTGGTGTGTATGGCCCCTCAGCAACTTGTTTAACAAGGGCCTTCGATGCCTTAACCCAGAGAAGCTACTCTGACGATGGGAATTTCAGGATGGGGCTGGACCAAGCTGTCCCTGCTCACAGGGGTGACATTTCTGGTCTAATCCTGTAGACAGACATCTGTACCAGCAAAGCAGAAAGCGGGTTTCAAGAGGCTGCCTGGGGTTTGGAGCTGGATTGCCGACACTGGAGTCTAAACAAGCCAGACTCATGATAGTCCTCCTGAGGACCCTGTCAACGCCAGGGGGGCGGTTTAACTCTCATAGATAGCAGCGTCTGCCTGCTGGGAACGGGCATGCGTCAGCAGGTAGAAGCTGGAGAGGACGTGGCGGCGCAATGTCCCTTTCCCCGGGAGGAGTCCGAAACGGGGAGGTGCCGGCCCCTTCCGTGAGGTCCACAGATGGACGCGGGAAGGGTGCCTGCAGGACGGACCCTCGGATCGCCACGTGTCTTCTCAGTGCGGCCACCTCTGGATTTGAGGTTATCAGCAGCCGGACAAGACGGGCTCTCTGCTGCATGTTTCTGTCACTCCAGCTGTTCTCTCTTGCTCTCTGTAAGACAGCATTCGGTTCTCGGTGCAAAAAGCCACTGTGGGCAACATGTGGGCTCCGGGAAGAAATACAGAAAGCCGCGCGGGCAGCCTGGGTGGCCTTGGGAAGGGCCACGCGTCTGTTTGCTGGGCGGCCACGGGCTGGGTGGCTTCAGCAGCAGACACTGGTTTTCTTACGGTTCTGGAGGCCAGAAGCCTGAGATCCCGGTGCCAGCAGGTTTGGTTTCTTTCCTGGCCGTTTTCCGTGGCTTGTGGATGGCCATCTTCTCGATGGGGCCTCTTGCGGTGCTTTTCCTGCATGCCTGTGTGTCTCCTTGTGCCCAAGCCCCTCTTAGGAGGACCCCCGTCAGACTGGATGAGAGCCCATGCTAATGGTTCATTTTCACTTAAATCAACTCGTTAAAGGCATTGTCTCCAAATGCAGCCATCTTCTGAGTCACAGAGGCAAGGGCCTGAACACAGGAGTGTGGGGGCCAGGAGCAGGAAGGGGGGCGAGGAGGGGGCAGGGGTCCAGTGGGGGCGGGGGGCGAGGGGCCGGCGGGGCAGCAAGGAGCCAGGTGGGGTGAGGGCAGCACCCAGCCCAGCCCAGCCCGTCACAGGGAGGTGGGGCCGCCCTGTTGTGTCAGGGATACAAGAGGGGAACCAGAGAAGTGGGCCACTGTCCCAATCCTGCCACCCTCCTGGGGGTCCTGGGAAAACCCCTTCTGCTCCAAGGGACCTGGCCTAAGCTGTTTCCCACCCCCACCCCAGCTCTTTAACAGTCCAGCCCTGCCCAGCGGCCCGCATGTGGACCGTTCACCCTCGTAGGTGCGCTGACAGCCGTCAGGCCCCTCCCGCCCCGTCGGCCACAACTTGTAACCTCCGTTACTGTTCACGGTTTACCCAGGAACCGGGTGCTGCCCACCGCAGAGGGTTTGGTCAGCGCGCGTGCAGACTGTCGGTAGCATTTCTAAGCTGCTGGCGCTTAGACGCGTGGACTGCAGCCTTTGCAACGTGCTGAGCTCCTTGGACACGCTCTCTCGCCCGAAAGTGTCCCTTCTGTCCCCGTGCCGGGCTTGTTTCTGTGCACGTGGGGAAAGCAGAAGCCGCACCTGAGCACATGCCGCAGGATGACTGCTGGGTCCGATGCGCCTCTCAGCCTGGTGGCTGGGCCGCTGCGTCAGGCTGCTATCACCCGGACGTGCAACTTCCACGGCTCTTCAGCGCAGGTTCTGGTCCTTGCCTCCCCTCCTGCAGGCTGGGTGAACCTTTCTTTTCTGTCTATAAACTAATCTCAGAACTGGGACCCTTGCAGCCCCTCCAGAATCAAAGGATTTTTGTCAAACATTAAAGTGTATATAAACACAGCTCAGAAACCATAAATGATGGGGCCCTTCCCCAATACACTTTCTGACTTTTTGTTTCCTCAAGCACTTGTTTAAAAAAGACATATGAGTTTTTACTTTTTCATCCTCAAAATATGGGAGGGGAAGACTAATACAACAAAGTCTGATTCATTATGGAATAAAATCACTCGGTGTTACCAGCCAGGGCTGGGGGACAGTTCTGACTTTTGTTCCTTCTCACCTGGAACTCACCAGCGCCCCCCAAGTGCCCCTCACAGGCCCCGGAGATGACCTTCAGAGAAATAGTCTGTCATCAGGGCCACGCGGAGTTGAGGGGGGCTGCTGAGGGCAAGTCCACACGAGCTTCTCAGTGGTGTCCTGAGGACCGCGTGTCAGGGAGCCCCCTCCTTCATGTTTGAGTAACTGTTTCCTTCCTAAATGAAAGTGGTGTGCTAGGGTTCTCCAGAGACGCACAGCCAACAGGTGCATACACGCGGGCTCAGTCGTGTGCAGCCCAGGGACTGCAGCCCGTCAGACTCCTCAGCCCATGGATTGTCCAGGCGAGAAGACTGGAGTAGCTTGCCACTTCATGCTCCAGGGGTTCTTCCCGGCCCAGGGATTGAACCCGCATCTCAAGTCTCCTTCATTGCAGGCGGTTTCCTGCCCTGGGGGCAGACTCTTTACTGACTGGGACACCAGGGAAGTGGCAGCATGACACCTGGAACCCGAGCACCCAGGTGGCGCGTGGGCGCAGACCTGGGTGAACGAGCGGGTTCTTCTGAGTTCCCCTGTGCTCGGGGCAGACAGGCCAGGGCCTGGGGCGTGCGCTCAGCCTGGTGGCTGCCTCCCACTGCTCCCAGCTCCCCCGGGGTCGCGGGTGGTGAGCAGTGGCCTGGCTGCAGCCACTCCCTCCTGGCAAACACGGTCTCTGGAGCCCCGCACACCCTGCCCGGGGACTCGACTTTTGCTCTGTGACCTTGGGCAGGCCCCTCTCCCCAGGGCCCACCTGGGCTTCTCCTGCCTGGCTCTGCCTGACCCCCCGGTCCCTTCTGGAGCAAGGGTCATCTGCCTGGGAAGCGTCTGCCCTACTACTTCCAGGGCAGCTACAGGCCCACCGTCCAGAGGCCTGAGTGACCCCGGACGCTGCTGCACCCTCTGTGTGTCGCCGGCAGCCTGGGACCTCGGTGTTTCGTTCACGCAATGACAGCATTGTATGAAATTGTCTTCATGCTCTGCCCCCCAGCTCCATCTTTGACTCTAAAAGCTTCGGGAGTTAGAGGCAAAACCCAACCAAGCCCACATGACTCCAGCATTCTTCCCCAGCCCCCACCTCCTGCCTGGGGAACGCAAGACAGTGCCCCCAAAGAGTGCGGGATTTTAAAAAATGGTGTGAAGCTCAGCCTCTGCCTTGGATCAGCAGACGAGGCACGGCTGGTTCCCCCAGCAGGCTGAGGACTCCAGGGTCCCACCCAGGCTTCCTGCAGGCTGGGGCTGGGCTCCAAGCCTCCATGGCCCCCGCCAGTTCCTCTAGAGCAGCAGGTAGGCTGTGCTTTGGGCAAGAAGTCGAGGCCATGGGTCAGGCCCAGCCTCTGCTCCCTGACCCTTTCCGGACGAGCTGGTGTTCGCGGAGCTGCAGCGAGAACCTGCCCTTGAGAAAGAGGACAGCAGAGCCCAGCATTATGGGGGCGAGGCTGTGCGCTCACCACACCGCTGTCCAGCCCAGTTGGGCTCCTGGCGCTGAGAAGGTCCAATGGATGCTCAGAAATGACCTTGCCATTTCAGGGCTCCTAGTGCAGAGTTTAAATTGATCTTCACCACTGGTCTTTGAATAATTAATTCCATGCTCAGCACTCATAAGAACAAGGCTCAAGGGTTTGGAGGTTTCTGATGAAGCAACAAGGAGACCACATCGCTCAGTCTTCTCAGTAGACTGGACTTGGGTCAGTTTTTATTTAAATCCACCCACATTCACACACCAACCTCCCACTGCGTTTCCAATAGAATCCGCATGAAAGTGCCATGGAGTCTCTTTTGTATGTGTAAACCATTTAAACATGTATTTCTTTGTTCAGCACATCTCTGGAAGCACCGTGTGTGAGCTGTTGTCCTCCCAGTAGCTACACGAAGCGCAGAGCAGAAAGCAGAGTGTGGGTGATCTCCCTTCACCGCCAGGCTTTAGTGCAACAAGCGTCACCTGGGTTTCTCTGAATCAGGCTAAATCAAACTTTGTGCCCCAACTCAGCTGGGTGGTGAGAAAGTCAAAGTGCCTCAGGGCGGCTCAGAAATCCAGTGGGCGGGGGTGCAGAGGTTGCCAGGTGGCTGCAAGTCCCAGCCCCATGCAGGGGAGGTGCCAGGTCCACATGCTCCATGCGGCCAGGGCGCTGTCTTCGCAGTACTTCCTGGCTCATTTCCTCCCCAGGCAGGGGGCGCCCCAGAGCTCACTCTCCTCCCACCATCCTCCACCCCATCATGTCTCCCTGAGCTCTCAAGGACTTCCTTCCAACCTGCCCCTGGGAAGACACTCCACATTCTGCCCCAGTGGGTCCTAAAGACACCATGGAAGAAGTTTGCTTCTGTCCCTTCTATCAATACTTTCTGTAAGTTGGCAGGAGGAGCCTGAGGTCAGACGGGATGCAGATCCAATAACTCTCCTCCAGGAGGCGTGAAGGGGCTTCCCAGGTGGCACTAGTGGTAACGAACCTGCCTGCAATGCAGGAGACCTGGGCTTGATCCCTGATCAGGAAGATCCCCTGGAGGAGGGCATAGCAACTCACACCAGTGTTCTTGCCTGGAGAATCCCACGGACAGAGGAGCCTGGCGGATTACAGTACATGGGGTGGCAGAGAGGCAGACACGACTGAAGGGACTTAGCACCCACAGGAGGCGTGAAAACCCAGCTGTCCTTCTTGTGAAGTTAGTGGTCGACAGCTGTCATGGCCCAGGTCCGTTATCACTATGATGGTGGCAAGATGCTGACATGCTAACGTCACCCCTTCCTCAGTGATGAGCTGGAAGACAGCCATCCAGAGAAACTCCCTCTCCCCCACGCGCTGGTTTCCCCACGTCAATCACCACCCTGCAGCTGCGTGTGCCCCGTTGTATGACACGCCCGGTCCTCAGTGGGTGGACATCAAGACACTTCTAGCTGTAAGATCCACCAGCACTGCTTGCCAACCCGCCCCCAGCAGCCACCCCGTGATCGTGTCAAGTCTCCCAGCCAAGAGCATCAGCCTTGTGCTTCTTCCCGGCCCTGCTCTCCCTCTGCTGCTGCTGCTGTTTAGTCTCTCCGTCGTGTCCGACCCTTTGTGACCTCATAGACTGTAGCCCGCCTGGCTCGTCCGTCCATCGGATACTTCAGACTAGAATACTGGAGTGGTTGCCATTTCCTCCTCCAGGGGGTCTTCCTGACCCAGGGATCAAACCCGTGTCTGCTGCATTGGCAGGTGTGTTCTTACCACCGAGCCAGCTCCAAGGGCTTTAAACAACCACATATCCAGCTCTCCCTCTAAGAAGCCTGCCCTGGTTAAAGGGCTCAGGAATGGCCACCTCTTTGTCAGCTTTAGGAGACGCCCAGAGCAAGGAGGTAGGCGGATGTTAAGTTCACATGTCACAGGATGTTGTCAGGCCCCCCATGCCACCACCCCCACAGCTCCCACCCCCGTGTGGAGAGGGGCCTTTCCCAGAGGCCCCTCCAGCTGTGAGTCACCAGCTCCCCAGCCCCAAACCTTACAGGAAAAGTGCAAATAGATTCTGGTGAATAGGGAACTAACGCCACCTCTGTGTGGGAGAGGATGTTATAATATCAGGCTGTCGCCAAATTAACGTTATTAAACAAATGTGCAAAAAATAGCAGCCATAATTACTCCATACAGTAGCTCAATCTGGAGCTCTCAGTGCGGTTTTGTGCCCCTAAACACAGGGCTGCCTCTATTCCCGCTCCTCTGGCCCTTCCTCCTTCCTTCTCGCCAAGATGCTGCAGAAGAAAGAGACCCCAAGCAGGCCCCCAGAACCTGTTTCCTTGAGAAACGAGAAAAGGATGGGAGCTAAGATTTGTTCAGCAACTACTGTGTGTCAGGCCCTTTTCCCACGGAACCCCGGTGAATTCTCACAACAGTCTAATGAAGGAAGCCCTGTTATTCCCATTGGACGGATCAGTAGACTGAGTCTGGTCACTGGGCTTGTAGATATTAAAGCCTGGCTTTGATCAGCCCCCAAACCCATGCCCTTTGCTCTTTATTTAACTATGAAAGTATGACAACACATTTATAGGAGACTTGGAAAATACAGAACAAGTTTACATATAGTTCCACAGTATATCGGTGCCTATTGCTCTTTGTCCTGATGCTCCAAACGGTCCTCTGAACAGTATCGCCCCAACCTCCCCCACCCTCTCGACAGACGCCTCACAGCAAAGCACCTGCCGGCTGCAGTGGCTCTCGGGCTCGGCTGTGTCCCAGGCAGGCTGCGCTCCAGGCCTGTCCACTGCTTCAGTTCAGCCCCAGGGCCAGGACCCGTCCCAGGAGAGCAGGGGGGGTGGCGGGGGGGGAACCTCAGGGTCACCTGCCCCAGCGCCACCTCCCCCCGTTCAGGTGTGAGGGAGGGACCCCCCCCCCCAAAAGGATCTGCCTGCCACGCAGGAGACACAAGAGACTCCAGTTCCATCCCTGGGTCAGGAAGACCACCTGGAGCAGGAAATGGAGACTGACTCCAGTGTTCTTGACTGGAGAATCCCAAGGACAGAGGAGCCTGGTGAGCCACAGTCCATGGGATCGCAGAGTCAGACTCTACTGAGCGCACCTGCCCACCCAGCCCCCCCACCGCCGGCCCCCTCTCCAGCCCCCGGCCCCGCCTCCCCGGCCCCGCCTCCCCGGCCCCCGGCCCCGCCTCCCCGCCCCCGGCCCCGCCTCCCCGGCCCCCGGCCCCGCCTCCCCGGCCCCGCCTCCCCGCCCCCGGCCCCGCCTCCCCGCGCCCCCTCCAGACCCCTGGCCCTGCCTCCCCGCCCCTGGGTCTCAGGATGTCCTGGCTTCTGACGAGCCCTTCCTCCGCGCCCCGCTCAACAGAGGCTGCTCGGGGCGGACGCTCAGGAGCCGGTGCTCTGGGCTGCCCACGATTGTGTCCCGCCTCGAGTTACTGCAATCTGCTAGCTCCCCTCCGCCCTCGGGGACGCGCCACACAAGCCTGCTTTGCTTAACTGCAGCAGAGAATAGCCGCTGGTCCTCAGTGACTGGTCACCTCTTCTTCAGCAGGTGAACTTAGTCCCATCCCAGGCTGTAGGTGCCGTGGTTCTGGGTATTTCCTCATCCTGGTCACTACCCTCATAGACTCTCTAGGTTGCAATGTCTCTTTTAAATGTGATTTCTGCAATTGATCCAGACTCTGGCCATCATTGCTGTTGGGATGGGCCTTGTGCATTTGTTTGGCTTGTCAGGAAGATGACACAAACTGGCAACCTAAGGTGACTGCTAGGCCTTAAGCTGCGCTTTAGCAGTCTCTACCTAGAGCGTCAGTTTTGGGGTTAAAAGTCTGAAACATTAATTACTAAACACTAACTTCTTCTTACAGAGAAACTAAAGAGGTTTTGGACTATTAATAAATATGCTTCGTGCCACCCTGAGATGTTCTCTATAAGAAAGCAAATGCTTTTAGAAATTATCATTGGTATTTATGTTCACCAATCTACAGAATGCTAATATAAAGGACAGTTCATGTTTGCTTAAGGAAAGTAGGATGTATGGTTTTAATTTAAAAAAAAGTATGAGAAATGAAATTACATTTTATTAAGAAAAAGAAAATCAGTCTGATTTATAGGTGGCTGTTTCTAAATGAACAAAGTGATTAAAAGAGAAAAAATAAAAGGTCTATGGAAAGTGGACCCCAAGAAGAGAGTTTTGTGCATAATACAAGTTTTCTTGTGATGTTGAGCTGCCCTTGATAATGGGTTTTAAGTTTCTTTATCTCTAAAGTGCTTTGCTGTGGCTCAGACAGTGAAGAATCTGCCTGCAAGACAGGAGATGTGGGTTCGATCTCTGGATCAGAAAGAGGAGGGCATGGCTACCCCTGCAGTATTCTTGACTGGAGAATGCTGCGGACAGGAGCCTGGCGGTCTACAGTCCATGCAGTCGCAAACAGTCTGGCATGACTGGGTGACTAACACTGGCACTTACCTCCTCCCGTATCAGATTATTCACTTGTCCATTCAACCTGGAACTTGCAGCCACAAAGAAGCAGTTGTTTTGTTTTTGCAAATTTCAAGTGCTTCTTCTATAAGGAAAAAAGCTAACAATTCTGCCCTCGTATGGCCAATTCACTGATTCCCTTCTCTTTAGTATATTGCCCTGGGATAGAAAGGAGCAGGCAGAGTCCCTTCCTGGCCTTGGCACTGCTGCACGTGCACGTTCTTCTGAGTAACATTCATGCACTTGTGGAAACACAGACGGACCTGTGGACATTTGGGCTAATTCCAACAGAATCATCTACTAGCAACATTTTGCCCGCCCTCCTCCATTTTCATTTTCTTATCTTTGAACCTATCCTCATTCTCAAGACCTATGAATATCAGTGTTGTGATTTTTCTGGCCCTGTGCTTTTCCTCTGCTCCAAGGGCAGTAAACAACCACGTCGCAAGCTTCCTCTGAGAAGCCTGCCCTGGTTAAATGGCTCAGGAATGGCCACATCTTTATCAGCCGCCTCAGAGACACCCAGAGCCAAGGCAGAAGGCCATTTCCAGGGAGGCGTCATTGCAGCAAGATAGATGCTGCTGTGTTTCCCTAAGAATGTCCTGCGGCACTCTGAGGGTGCCCAGCTGGGGAGCCGTGGTCCCAGGCCAGCAAGTTGCTGGCGATGGCCATCACACTTGAATTCTTGCTGTGCCTTCCCTCAGAGGGGACCCATCCCTGCTCGGCCCCATGCCCTCACCACCACACGGCATTCTCAGCGACAATCACTACCGCCCACCGTGGAGGCCAGTGCAAGGGACTTCGGTGCACTAAGGGCAGAGTGGCCAGGAGGGTTGCTGGACGTAGGATGGGACCAGAAAGTAAAGAAGCGTGACCTCCAGACTAAGGATTTCGGACTTCCTTTTCGAGGCAATGAGGAACCAGAGATTTCAGGGAGGGATGAGTTAGGCTGGACTCATTTTCATTGAGGTATGACTGATGAAATGTTATATTAGTTTCAGGTGTGCAATGTTATGATTTGATGTTTGTATACATTGCAAGTGACCTCCACAGTAAGCCCAGTGACCACCCATCACCACACACGGTTACAAACATGTTCTTTTCTTGAAATGAGAACGTTGAAGATCCACTCTCCTAGCTACTTCCAAATATGCAGGCAGCAGGGTGGACTCCCAGCTGCGGGGTGGGGAGCTGAGGGGTAGAAGATCCCAGAGGGGAGGCTGAGATCCAGGACCTGGCACAGGGGTCAACAGATGCTTCGACTCGAGGGGCCAGGCTGAAGGCAGAGCTAAGCAGGGGCGGTGGCCGGACCAGGGGGTCCCGGACAGGACGGGGCGGGGGCGGGGGCGGGGTCCGGGAGGCTGGCCGGCTCTCCCGGGGGAGGAGGGGGCGGGGTGAGGCCGTCACAGCCTCCACCCTTTCCAAGCACAGAAGACCTTCTGGCTGACTCCTCGCGTCCTCAGAGGGGAAGGACTCACCGTCTGGGGTTCAGGCTCAGGGGAACCTACCCCTTAGGAGCCTGAGGGAGGGGCAAACAACAGTCCCAGTGAGATCTCAGCTCCCAGGGAGTCTGCCTCCGTACTCTGACACGGAGGGGAAGCGAGACAGAAAGGAAGCCAAGCCTACAGCCTCTCCTACTACAATCTTTGGCACACATGCCTTGCAAGAAAAAAGACTTTCCTTTGGGACAGCAGTCCAGAGATGATTCAAAATTGTTTCTTTAAACGAAGCTCCTAAAGTCCACCAGAGTTCAAATGCATTTACCTGAAGAGACAGACAAATTTTAGTAGGGAAAAAAAGATAACTGCACCCCGCCCCCGCCCACCTCCACACACACACCAAATTCGAAGCTTCCCAAGGCAGAGCAGGTGTGTCCCCCTGGGAGAACTCTGCAATCAGGAGGCTGTTAACTAAGCTGCAAATATGTGCAGAGACACGTCTTTGGCCAGAGAACACTGCAGATTGCTCTGAAATCCCATCATCTCTAGAAAGAAGAAAAATAAGGAGAATCTAGCAATTACCTCCAAAAGCTCACCAGGCAACGGGCTCTGAGAATGAGGAAGAGGGCAGGTCGGGGCAGGGCGGAGGTCGGGGCCAGAGAGGGCAGCCAGGGGCGCAGGGCAGGTGTCAGAGGCGGTGGAAGCAGGCTGAGCGCGAGGGCTGCGGGCTTCCCCCCGGGGGCTCTACGGTGGATCCGGGGCACCCCGCCCCTCCCGCAGTCCTGACTCTGAGAGGGAGTTTCTCGACAGCAGGGGTACAGCCTTATGAATTCATAAACCACGACTTCACAGTAAGTCCCCTGCCTTCACTGAGGCACGTCTGCGATTAACTCGGGGGCCCAATTAGAGAAACAAATGCTCCGCACCAGGGCCCCGCTGGTTGCCATGGAAACGCGGGCGCACAGATGTAGGTTCTGGCAGCATGACCAGCTTGCTGTTCTGATGCAGCCGTGGCGGTGCCGCAGACACTCGGACTGTGCAGAACCAACCACGTCAACTCTCAGACGTTGTCCACTAACAAGTGATGGGCAACAGACAGTGGGAAAGCTGGACGTTGAGGAAGTAAATTCAGATTCCACAGCTGAGCCTAAAGAGGGCAGCTGAGTGAGTGGGGTCAGCTATCAGGGAAGGCTTCCCTGAAGAAAGCATTTTTAAGCCCAGCTCTGATAAATAAGGGGCTTTGCTGATGGCTCAGTGGGTAACGAATCTGCCGGCCGTGCAGGAGACACTGGAGACGTGGGTCGGGAATGTCTCTGGGAGGAGGAACCGGCAGCCCACTCCAGTACTCCTGCCTGGGAAATCCCGTGGACAGAGGAGCCTGGTGGGCCACAGTCCACGGGTTCACAGAGAGTCAGACGCGACTGAGCCCAACCCTGGTGAGTAAGAGTCCCTGGGGAAAGGCCAGGACAGTGAGCAGGAGGGCGGGGGTCTGAAGTGGAGGTTAGGGATGGAGCGAGGATCCAGCTGGGAGAAATTGGGCAGGTAACTTGGTATTTTTTGAGAGGAATTAAAAGCATTTTACAGAACCAATTTTCATAAAAATGGTCAAGTGAAAACTGTGCAAACCGGACAGACAAGTTCACAAAGGCCCGCGTCTGTCCCTTTCTACTGGGTGTTCTAAGTTAACTGTCTATCTCTGAACACCCTGCAAGGGGACTCAGCAGAGAGCAGTGTTGTCACACTTTCAGTGTGAATTTTGGGCTTATTCTGAATCGTTTCCCAAGAAGAGGGTGGAGAATCACTCACGTGTAAGCAGTCAACCACCTGCCAGAGGCTGGAGGGGCCACTTGAGGTATGTGGTCTCCAACCTCCCCCATCCATGGGATTCTCCAGGCAGGAATACTGGAGTGGGTTGCCACGCCCTCCTCCAGAGGATCTTCCCGACCCAGGGATAGTACCCTCACCTCCTGTGTGTTGTGCATTGGCAGACCGGTTCTTTACCACTAGTGCCACCTGGGAAGCCCAATTAAGTTTTTACCGAATTGAAAAGATACTTATTGAGTGCCAGTTGTGGATGTGATTGGTGATGGAAGTAAAGTCCAATGCAGTAAAGAGCAATAATGCATGAAAACCTGGAATGTTAGGTCCATGAATCAAGGCAAATTGGAGTTGGTCAAACAGGAGATGGCAAGAGAGAACATCAACATTTTAGGAATCAGTGAACTAAGATGGACTGGAATGGGTGAATTTAACTCAGATGAGCATTTTATCTACTACTGTGGCAGGAATCCCTTAGAAGAAATGGAGTAGACTACGGCCATACCACCCTGAACGCGCCCAATCTCATCTGATCTCAGAAGCTAAGCAGGGTCGGGCCTGGTTAGTACTTGGATGGGAGAAGAAATGGAGTAGCCCTCATAGTCAACAAGAGAGTCTGAAATGCAGTACTTGGATGCAGTCTCAAAAACGACAGAATGATCTCTGTTCATTTCCAAGGCAAACCATTCAATATCACAGTAATCCAAGTCTATGTTCCGACCAGTAATGCTGAAGAAGCTGAAGTTGAACCGTTCTATGAAGAACTACTTCTAGAACTAACACCCCCAAAAGAGGTCCTTTTCATTATAGGTGACTGGAATGCAAAAGTAGGAAGTCAAGAGATACCTGGAGTAATAGACAAATTTGGCCTTGGAGTACAGAATGAAGCAGGGCAAAGGCTAATAGAGTTTTGCCAAGAGAACACAAACTGGTTATAGCAAACACCCTCTTACAACAACACAAGACTTTACACATGGACATCACCAGATGGTCAATACTGAAATCAGATTGATTATATTCTTTGCAGCCAAAGCTGGAGAAGCTCTATACAGTCAGCAAAAACAAGACTGGGAGCTGACTGTGGCTCAGATCATGAACTCCTTATTGCCAAATTCAGGCTTAAATTGAAGAAAGTAGGGAAAACCACTAGATCATTCAGGTATGATCTAAATCAAATCCCTTACAATTATACAGTGGAAGTGACAAATAGATTCAAGGGATTAGATTTGATAGATAGAGTGCCTGAAGAACTATGGATGGAGGTTCGTGACAGTGTACAGGAGGCAGTGATGAGGACCATCCCCAAGAAAAAGAAATGCAAAAAGGCAAAATGGCTGTCTGAGGAGGTCTTATAAATACCTGTGAAAAGAAGAGAAGTGAAAGGCAAAGAAGAAAATGAAAGATATTCCCATCTGAATGCAGAGTTCCAAAGAATAGCAAGGAGAGATAAGAAAGCCTTCCTCGGTGATCAATGCAAAGAAATAGAGGAAAACAATAGAATGGGAAAGACTAGAGCTCTCTTCAAGAAAATTAGAGCTACAAAGGGAACATTTCATGTAAAGATGGGCACAATAAAGGCCAGAAATGGTATGGACCTAACAGAAGCAGAAGATATTAAGAAGAGATGGCAAGAATACACAGAAGAACTATACAAAAAAGGTCTTCATGACCCAGATAACCGTGATGGTGTGATCACCCACCTAGAACCAGACATCCTGGAACGCAAAGTCAAGGGGGCCTTAGGAAGCATGACTACAAACAAAGCCAGTGGAGGTGATGGAATTCCAGTCGAGCTATTTCAAATCCTGAAAGATGATGCTGTGAAAGTGCTGCACTCAATATGCCACCAAATCTGGAAAATGCAGCAGTGGCCTCAGGACTGGAAAAGGTGAGTTTTCATTCCAGTTCCAAAGAACGGCAATGCCAAAGAATGCTCAAACTACTGCACAACTGCATTCATCTCACATGCTAATAAAGCAATGCTCAAAATTCTCCAAGCCAGTCTTCAACAGCAAGTGAAGCATGAACTTCCAGATATTCAAGCTGGATTTAGAAAAGGCAGAGGAACCAGAGATCAAATTGCCAACATCCCTTGGATCATCGAAAAAGCAAGCGAGGTCCAGAAAAACATCCACTTCTGCTTTGTTGACCACGCTCCCGGAGGGCGGGGCTGGAGCCCGGAAACACACCTGAGGCAGGTTCAGGTCCGGGGAGGCGGCTGAAACGGGGGCCGGGCAGGAGAGCGGGGGCGGCCTGGCTGCGCTGAGCCTGAGCGGCCGGGACGTCCGTGGGATGTGTGAGCGGTAGCGGCTTGGGTGGAGCTCAGGAAGTGGAGCCCGGCCGCTCGGTCGGCACGGCGGCGGCGCCATCTGGCGTCCGGAGCCCGCACCTGCAGGCTCTGTTCACTGCGTCCGCAGGGGCGAGATAGCCAGTGCTTCCCACGCCCCTGCCATTCCCAGGGCTCGGCAGATATGCGCAACTCCTAAGTAAGTCAGGAAAGAACCCCCAAATAAGCAAATAGATAAATATCTCCCAGCCTCACGTGTATCTGTATGTGTGTGCACATGTTTTTTGCTACATCCCAGTACTTCTTGTAATATTAATATTTAATTTTTTTTTCCTGTAAATCAACTTCCTTATCTACTGAAATGCATTTCATTTAAAACAAGAATCTTAGTCAACTTCACACAGTACATGGAAATCCAGTATCAGGCACAAAAAAAGTCGAAAGGTACGACCAAGGTGAATCCATGGAACATGGAACATGGAACCTGTGGTTGATGTCTGGTCATGTCCGCCTCCTGAGGACTCTGGATGCCTAGACTTTCTCTGCTAAAGGGGCAGATTAGCAAGTGTGGCTGGGACGTCAGAGCTCCAGAAACACATGCCTGTGTGTGTGCTTCTCCAGGCCTGGCGTCTTCAGAACAAACACTGGGAACGGCTTTGGTGACCACAAACAAACCCCTGGCCTGAGGTCCTAGGAGGTCAGTTGAGTGAAGCAGAACCAGGAACTAGATCTCCTTTTCTGCACCCGGGGATGCCAAGGGACAGAATCCTCCTTTAATACTACTGTTCCATTCATTGAAAGCAGCTTTAAAACATGTCCAAATGATATGTATGACTTTTTGGGTGCTTTTTACTAAATTTGTGCTTTATGATTTGGTAGTCAAGGGGAAAATAAAGGAGACTTTATGATCCCAGTATAATTTTTTGCATTTATAAATTTTTCATTTCTTCTTAGTAGCAGTTTTCTTAGAGCAGTTTTAGGTTGACATATATAAATAAATTTCAAAGTAAAATTTTCAGGAACGTTGTCAAAAGCAGTTGTTCTTTCAGATTCTTCTCTCATCCTCATTCCTGGTCAGTCTATAGTAGTAGAGTCTTTCTGATCCTCTTGGGGATTGTGGATAGGGTAGCTGGGTGAGGCTGCCAGGGTCAGATGTCGTCCTAACTAGTCACCAGCCAGCTCCCATTCCTGGCCCAGCTGTTCCATTTCCAAAAGCAAAGGATCTGCTCACTAAAGTCTGACTGGGAATAAGATCAGGAAGCACTGACCCGGCCTACAAGGTCAGGAAGCTGAAGCTGAGATTCGGAAGGCTGAAGGAAGCCAACAGTAACTTATGTGAGCTTGCACGGTGAGAGGTGCACATCCAGACCAAGACTGGCTCATCCCACTTCCTCTGGGGTTCTCCACAGAGCACCACAGACCCTGTGATTTTCAGCCCGGAAACGAGATTTCTGTCCGCTCCTCCGTCTGCCCAACTCTGTTCTGGAAACACAGAATCAAAAAGGGCTGTGGCCTTGACTTCTCGGTGGCGGAGGCGAGCAGGAGAGGCCCATGAAGGCCTCGCACTTCTACAGCTTTGGGACAAGGAGCTTCCTGGATTTAGACGGTGGCTTGTTTTCTCAGAACACGCATCACAGCAGTTGCATGGTCAGTTCACGCCAACGGAGAATGCACAGAACCCACCAAGAGTTACTACAAATTCTGCAGTGTTTTGGAACATACCTGTGGCTGATTCATCACAGCAGCATCTACGCAATTTCACAGAACAAGTGTCTGTACACGGGCAGACCTTGTTTCATTGCACTTCACTTTTTTGTGCTTCGCAGACATTCTGGGTTTTTGTTTTGTTTTGTTTTATACAAACTGAAGGTTTGTGGCAACCCTGCTTCGAGCAAGTCCATAGACAATTTTCCACCAGCGTTTGTTCACTTCGTGCCTCTGTGTCACATTTTGATGATTCTCCCCATGTTTCAAACATTTTCATTATTATTTTACTTGTTTTCTGTGAGCACTGATCGTTGATGTTACCATTGCAAAAAGATTAATCTTTGCAGAAGGCTCAGATGATGGTTAGCATTTTTCGGCAACAAAGTATTTTTAAATTAAGGTATGCAAGTCTTTTTTAGACATAAAGCTATTGCACACTAAACAGACTACAGGATAATGAAGACACAACTTTTTTATGTATTGGGAAACCAAAGCCTCGTGTGAGTTGCTGTATTGTGATGTTTATCCCGCTGATCTGGAACTGACCCATGGTTTGTCTCTGAACTCTGCCTGTTTGTGTGGACACGGCATTTCCTCTGCAGGGCTCAGTTCCCCAGGCTGTGCCCAGGCACACAAGTCCGGGTCTGGATGGGACACGGGCAAAGAGAGGACCTGGCCCTGAGGTGCCCCTGCCCGTCTGGCGTCCTGCGCTCGTGCCCTCCCCCGACCCCAGTTAGTCCTCCTGGCCTCCCTGCCCCAGGGCCTTCGCTCCAGCTGCTTCCTCTCTGCACACTCTTCTCACCAGTGTCCACCAGGCTTACCCTGCTCTCTCCTCCTTCCAGTTCTCCTCACCCACTGGGCCAGCTGCTCTTCTGGCCCCTTCTAGCTCAGACGCCCTCCCCCCTGGTGGAATCTCCTCCATCCAACACCCCACACTCTGCTTCCTACCTTTCCATGTTGAGTGTCTCTGCACAAGGCTGGGTTTCCTCTGCTCTGCTCCCTGAAGACTCCCCAGCGCTTGGGGACATCTGTGTGTGTGCTCGATTGTTCAGTCGTGCCTGACTCTTTGCAACCCCATGGACTACAGCCTGCCAGGCTCCTCTGTACATGGCAGGAGTACTCGAGTGGGTTGCTATTTCCTCCTCCAGGGGATCTTCCCAACCCAGAGATCAAACCCACGTCTCCTGTAGTACAGGTTGCTTTCTACCCACCGACCCACCTGGGTGGACGTCTAGTGCTCCAAAAACCCTCGGGGGATGAATGAGTGGGTGGAACCACGGGCAGGTGACCCCACCCCTCTCTGTTTCCTGAGGCCAGCTGGGACAGTGCTTCACAACCCATCAGGAGTTAGAATACCCCTGGAGAGCTGGTAAGCAGACTGCTGGGCCCCACTGACTCCGATTCAGGAGGCAGGGAGGAGGCTTAGCAACCCCTTGGAAGCCCCCAGGTGTGGCTGGGCCAACATTTCACTACCTCCCATAAAGAAGGCTGAGTGCCAAAGAATGATGCTTTCAAACTGTGGTGCTGCAGAAGATGCTTGAGAGTCCCTTGAACTGCAAGGAGATCCAACCAGTCCATCCCAAAGGAAATCAACGCTGAGTATTCATTGGAAGGACTGATGCTGAATGTGAAACTCCCAGACTTTGGCCATCTGATGCAAAGGGCTGACTCACTGGGAAAGACAGAATACTGGGAAAGATTGAGGGCAAAAGGAAAGGGGGTGGGAGAGGATGAGATGGCTAGATAGCATCACAGACTCAACAGAGTCAGTATATGTGAATTTGAGCAAACTCTGGGAGACAGTGGAGGACAGAGGAGCCTGGCATGCTGCAGTCACAGAGAGTTAACAGTGCTGCTGGGGTGAGAGCTCAAAGAGCAGCCTGAGGTGGAAGCAGTGCTGGGAAGAGCCTTCTCCAAGCATCCTAATCTCCAGTGCCTGGGGCTAAATGAGCCTGGGGAGGGGGGAGGCCGGGGCAGGCGGGGGAGGCTGGGGTAGAAGCCCCTTCTCCCTGCAGAGGCCTTGACTCTGCTCTCTCCTGGGCGGGGAGGGGGAGCCTCTCCCCGTACTGAGCCCCAGGAGGTGGGGAAGCGGGGAGAGCGGATGGGCAAGAGGAGGAGCGGGGGGAGGAGTGTGAGGACGAGCGGGAGGAGGAGGGGGAGGAGGAGTGGGAGGAGGAGCAGAAGGAGGAGTTGGAGGAGGAGTGGGAGGAGGAGCGTGAGGAGGAGCGGGAGGAGGAGTGGGAGGAGGAGCGGGAGGAGGAGTGGGAGGAGGAGCGGGAGGAGGAGTGGGAGGAGTGGGAGGAGGAGCGGGAGGAGGAGCGGGAGGAGGAGTGGGAGGAGGAGCGGGAGGAGGAGCGGGAGGAGGAGTGGGAGGAGTGGGAGGAGGAGCGGGAGGAGGAGCGGGAGGAGGAGTGGGAGGAGGAGTGGGAGGAGGAGTGTGAGGAGGAGTGGGAGGAGTGGGAGGAGGAGTGTGAGGAGGAGTGGGAGGAGGAGTGGGAGGAGGAGTGGGAGGAGGAACGGGAGGAGGAGCGGGAGGAGGAGTGGGAGGAGGAGTGGAAGGAGGAGTGGGAGGAGGAGCGGGAGGAGGAGTGGGAGGAGGAGTGGGAGGACGAGCGGGAGGAGGAGGGGGAGGAGGAGTGGAAGGAGGAGCGGGAGGAGGAGTGGGAGGAGGAGTGGAAGGAGGAGCGGGAGGAGGAGTGGGAGGAGGAGTGGAAGGAGGAGCGGGAGGAGGAGTGGGAGGAGGAGTGGGAGGAGTGGGAGGAGGAGTGTGAGGAGGAGTGGGAGGAGGAGCGGGAGGAGGAGCGGGAGGAGGAGCGGGAGGAGGAGCGGGAGGAGGAGGGGGAGGAGGAGCGGGAGGAGGAGCGGGAGGAGGAGTGGGAGGAGGAGCGGGAGGAGGAGGGGGAGGAGGAGCGGGAGGAGGAGCGGGAGGAGGAGTGGAAGGAGGAGCGGGAGGAGGAGTGGGAGGAGGAGTGGAAGGAGGAGCGGGAGGAGGAGTGGGAGGAGGAGTGGGAGGAGTGGGAGGAGGAGTGTGAGGAGGAGTGGGAGGAGGAGCGGGAGGAGGAGCGGGAGGAGGAGCGGGAGGAGGAGTGGGAGGAGGAGCGGGAGGAGGAGCGGGAGGAGGAGTGGAAGGAGGAGCGGGAGGAGTGTGAGGAGGAGCGGGAGGAGGAGCGGGAGGAGGAGCGGGAGGAGGAGCGGGAGGAGGAGTGGGAGGAGGAGCGGGAGGAGGAGCGGGAGGAGGAGTGGAAGGAGGAGCGGGAGGAGGAGCGGGAGGAGGAGTGGGAGGAGGAGTGGGAGGAGTGGGAGGAGGAGTGGGAGGAGGAGTGGGAGGAGGAGCGGGAGGAGGAGCGGGAGGAGGAGTGGGAGGAGGAGCGGGAGGAGGAGCGGGAGGAGGAGCGGGAGGAGGAGTGGGAGGAGGAGCGGGAGGAGGAGCGGGAGGAGGAGCGGGAGGAGGAGTGGGAGGAGGAGCGGGAGGAGGAGCGGGAGGAGGAGTGGAAGGAGGAGCGGGAGGAGTGGGAGGAGGAGCGGGAGGAGGAGCGGGAGGAGGAGCGGGAGGAGGAGCGGGAGGAGGAGTGGGAGGAGGAGCGGGAGGAGGAGTGGAAGGAGGAGCGGGAGGAGGAGCGGGAGGAGGAGTGGGAGGAGCGGGAGGAGGAGTGGGAGGAGGAGCGGGAGGAGGAGTGGGAGGAGCGGGAGGAGGAGTGGGAGGAGGAGTGGGAGGAGGAGCGGGAGGAGGAGCGGGAGGAGGAGTGGGAGGAGTGGGAGGAGGAGTGGGAGGAGGAGTGGGAGGAGGAGTGTGAGGAGGAGTGGGAGGAGGAGCGGGAGGAGGAGCGGGAGGAGGAGCGGGAGGAGGAGTGGGAGGAGGAGCGGGAGGAGGAGTGGGAGGAGGAGCGGGAGGAGGAGCGGGAGGAGGAGTGGGAGGAGGAGCGGGAGGAGGAGCGGGAGGACGAGCGGGAGGAGGAGTGTGAGGAGGAGTGGGAGGAGGAGTGGAAGGAGGAGCGGGAGGAGGAGCGGGAGGAGGAGTGGGAGGAGTGGGAGGAGGAGTGTGAGGAGGAGTGGGAGAAGCGGGAGGAGTGGGAGGAGGAACGGGAGGAGGAGCGGGAGGAGGAGTGGGAGGAGGAGCGGGAGGAGGAGCGGGAGGAGGAGTGGAAGGAGGAGCGGGAGGAGGAGTGGGAGGAGGAGCGGGAGGAGGAGTGGGAGGAGGAGTGGGAGGAGGAGCGGGAGGAGGAGCGGGAGGAGGAGTGGGAGGAGTGGGAGGAGGAGTGTGAGGAGGAGCGGGAGGAGGAGTGGGAGGAGGAGTGGGAGGAGGAGCGGGAGGAGGAGCGGGAGGAGGAGTGGGAGGAGTGGGAGGAGGAGTGTGAGGAGGAGTGGGAGAAGCGGGAGGAGTGTGAGGAGGAGCAGGAGGAGGAGTGGGAGGAGGAACGGGAGGAGGAGCGGGAGGAGGAGTGGGAGGAGGAGCGGGAGGAGGAGTGGGAGGAGGAACGGGAGGAGGAGGGGGAGGAGGAGCAGAAGGAGGAGTGTGAGGAGGAGTGTGAGGAGGAGCGGGAGGAGGAGCGGAAGGAGTGTGAGGAGGAGCGGGAGGAGCGGAAGGAGTGTGAGGAGGAGCGGGAGGAGGAGGGGGAGGAGGAGCAGAAGGAGGAGTGTGAGGAGGAGTGTGAGGAGGAGCGGGAGGAGGAGCGGAAGGAGTGTGAGGAGGAGCGGGAGGAGCGGAAGGAGTGTGAGGAGGAGCGGGAGGAGGAGCGTGAGGAGGAGTGGGAGGAGGAACGGGAGGAGGAGTGGGAGCGGCGGGAGCAGCAGGAGGCCTCCAGGAGAGACTAGAGCGTTGCACAGCCCGTCTCGCAGCTGCAGGTCACCCCCTCCGGAAACTGCCTGGCGGCCAGACAGACTCCGCTCCGGAGAAGTGCCCTTTGTGCACAAATGGCTGGTCTGGGTAACTGATGAGTTCACCTCCGGAAACAAGGGGCTCGCCCGCATCCACATGTGACCTCCGAAACCTAGTGGGTCTCACGTTAGAAAGGTCATGGAGGTTCCCTACAGATGCCGAGTCACTGTGCAGGCCCAGCCCTCCGTAAGCCCCCAGTCCAGGGCGGGTGACGGGGGTGCCCCTCTGCGTGGTAGAAGCTCTAAACCCGTTAGTGCACGTGGGCACATCGGAGATACCGGGGCGGTTGGGTTGCAGAAGAGCAGACGCCTAGGCTGGACCAAAGAGAACAGGCAGCCACTTGGCCAGGCAGGCAGAGCAGCTGAGACATCAGGCGGCAGAGAGAGGATGGAGAGCTAGGTGCAGCCCGGGTCGGGGCATGTGCAAAAGCCGTTCCCTAGCCCTCCCCCAAACACCCTGCGCCTCCCGTCCTTGCAGCGGGTCTTCCTCAGTTCAGTTTGCCAGAGTCATTTTTGTTGTCTCTCCTCAGAGTAGCTTCCTTTCAACTGTGAACCTGAAACTCTCTTTTAAAATGTCTTTAAAAACAAAACATCTCAAAAAAAAAAGAAAGAAAAGAAAGAAAAATCTCTTGCCCACCTACTCTCTGTCAGTAGGACGTGCAATTGCGAGCAAGATGAGAGCTCAAGAGCGCCTCCTGTCTATCTCCAACCCCTGCGGTGCCCGACTCAGGATGGGAGGAGGAAGACGGATTCCATGGCCCAACTCCTGTGGAGAGGACATCAGCTGTGGGAGGAAGGTGAGTGCATTCACAAGGTCGAGGTGATGGACTCCACTCCCAGTTACAGTCGGCTCTTCCGTAGTCAAGGGCCCCTGATGTTTGGCTGGACATGTGGCTGCCGTGAATAAAGACATGTCCCAGCCTCTCTTAAATGTTGGCTTAAAACTCAACATTCAAAAAACTAAGATCATGGTATCCAGTCCCATCACTTAATGGCAAAGAGATGGGGAAACAATGGAAACAGCGACAGACTTTATTCTCTTGGGCTCCAAAATCACTGTGGATGGTGACTGCAGCCCTGAAATTAAGAGAAGCTTGCTCCTTGGAAGAAAAGCTATGACAAGCCTGGACAGTGTATTAGAAAGCAAAGACTTTGCCAACAAATACTCGTGTAGTCAAAGCTATGGCTTTCATAGTAGCTATGGCTTTCACAGTAGTCATGTATGGATGTGAGAGCTGGACCATAAAAAAGGCTGAGTGCTGAAGAATTGATGCTTTCAAACTATGGTGTTGGAGAAGACTCTTGAGAGTCCCTTGGACAGCAAGGTGATCAAACCAGTCAATCCTAAAGGAAATCAACCCTGAATATTCATTGGAAGGACTGATGCTGAGGCTGAAGCTCCAATACTTTGGCTACCTGATGCAAAGAGCCAACTCATTGGAAATGACCCTAATGCTGGGAAAGATTGAAGGCAGGAGGAGAAGAGAACAACAGAGGATGAGATGGTTGGATGACATAGATCTACAGATGGGCTGGACTTGAGGGACATGAGTTTGAGCAAACTCTGGGTGATGGTGAAGGACAGGGAAGACTGGCATGCTGCAGTCCATGGGGTTGCAAAGAGTTGGACATGACTGAGTGAACAACAACAACCCAGCCTCTCTTGACAGCAAGGGAACATATGTGACTAAGCTCCACCTAAAACAGAAGTGGCATATGCAACTTTCACTTTCAGGAATTGTTCTTAAATGAACAACATGTGTTTCCTTTTCCCTTTCCCTTCTTCCTTCTAACTGGAATGTAGATGTGATGCCTGGAGCTCCAGCAGCCATCTTGGATCACAAGATGACTATGTGACTGGAAGCCATTATGGAAAAACAACTAACTAGATGGAGTCAGGTCCCTGACACCAAGAAAACTGCACTAGCCATAACTCCATATTTCTTGACTATGAAAGAGAAATATAATTTTACTTTGTTAAACTATTGTTCTGCCTATTTTCCCCCTTTGATCTTACAGTCAAATCTGATCCTATGATATTTCCATGGGTGCCTCTGAGCCTTTCTGTTTCTAGTTGTGTCCCATTCAGTCTTTTCTTCCTGACTCCATCAGTGTGAGCCCCTCATGACATACATCTAATGATGTCCAGTGGCTCTCCATCACCCTTAGGACAAGAGATAAACAGATTGGCCATTCAGAGTCTTGGCTTGGAGAAAGCCAGTTTAATTCCTCCTCCTTGCCTGATGCCTGGGCTATGACATTTAAAAGAGATGTTGGTGAAGGTGGCAGGGCTGTGAACAGAGCCTGGGGGTGAAGGCCCCTAGCCAATCGGGGGAGGAAGATGGAAGATGCACCCATGTGTAACCAGGGAGAAAGGGAAGTCCTGTGGATGACTCCTGGAACCTTGGCCCTGACAGGTAATATGGTGGAGAGGAAGCCCAGCCCATTGCTGGGGAGTTGGCGAGGACCTGCCTTCTTGTGCTCCAAGAAAGAATGGTTCCTAAACTGAGGTGAAAATAACTGCTTGTTAGATTCCTGAGAAAGGAAATCACGTGACCCCTTCAGTCCCCATCTCCTTTACTCTGGCACCTTAATTGGCTATTTGTGTGTCTAGAATGAATACCTAGGAGATTGCAGCCACCACCCGAAGGGAGTGGATTTTCTGTGCTCATCCCTCATTCAGGGCACTGGTTCTCCACCTGCCTGATGAAAGGGGCACGGAGGACCACTGATCGTCCTCTGTTTCTCCATGGTCATTGCACAGAATGCCATCTGTTTCCAAAGGCAGCTTGACCAGTCTGTCTGAAGCAGAGATCCATTCTATTCACTGTCCCAGAAGCCACAGTGGAACCGATAAACATCTGATTAACAAGTCCGACTTTTCACAAGTGAAGATGCGAGTTTGGAGGGAGGAGAAACCTTCTCTGCTGCCTTGCACAGAGCTGCTTTTTGGGAAGGAAGCTTGACCAAACGATCACCTCTCAAGGCTGCGGTTCCGAGAACAGGGGCCACACAGTGGGTTCCAGGGGCGCTCTCTTCCCAGGTTCCACTAGGGGCGCTGTCTTCCCGGGTTCCACTAGGGGCGCTCTCTTCCCGGGTTCCACTAGGGGCGCTGTCTTCCCGGGTTCCATTAGGGGCGCTGTCTTCCTGGGTTCCTCTAGGGGCGCTGTCTTCCTGGGTTCCACTAGGGGCGCTCTCTTCCCGGGTTCCACTAGGGGCGCTGTCTTCCTGGGTTCCTCTAGGGGCGCTCTCTTCCCGGGTTCCACTAGGGGCGCTGTCTTCCTGGGTTCCTCTAGGGGCGCCCTGTCCCCGGGTTCCGCTAGGGGTGCTCTCTTCCCGGGTTCCACGCCTGGGGGTGGCAGAGTGCTCACTCCTCGGCATCGATCCCGTCGTGGCGGCCCCACCCCGATTTCCACACCCAAATTTAATTACTTCCCAAAGCCCTCACCTGCACATTCTGTCACATCGGGGGTTAAGACTTCAACACCTGAATTTTGAGGGGACACAAACATGCAGACAACAGCAAGGCTCTTTATTGAGCACTTGGTATGTGCTAACAGTTTAATAATTATTATATGCTAAATATACAATTAAGAAGCCCCTGGTGGCTCAGACGGTAAAGAATCTGCCTTCAGTGCAGGAGATCCAGGTTCGATCCCTGGGGTGGGAAAGATCTCCTGGAGAAGGGCGTGGCAACCCACTCCTGTATTCTTGCCCAGAGAATCCCATAGACAGAGGAGCCTGGTGGACTACAGTCCATGGGGGCAACAAAGAGTCGGATCGGACATGACTGAGCCACAGAACAACAAAATTTACAATTATTGTATGCTGAATAGACACAATCACCCTTTCCATGTGACCAATGAGGAACGGAGGCTGGCATGACGTAGTAACTTGCCTGAAGTTTACCCGGTGAGGAAGAGGGAGAGCTTTTAGGGTCTCAGGACCACACACTGGACCATGATCTGCCTGGTACCTAGTTGACCTGCAACCCCTCAACTCTTCCCCACCAGCCTCCTCCTCCCTGTCTTGCAAGACACGCAGTGTGTCTGCACTCCTGGGCCACAGGAGGACCAGGACAGGGTGGGGTCATCGCTGGGCGTCCCTCTGTGCATCCCAGAAGACGCTGGGAGCTGTTCAGACAGAGGCAGGGCCCGGTTTCTGGGTGAAACAAACTGCGGTCTTGCCTCCACAAGCAGCCGCCTCGAAAGCACAGGGCAGGGAGGCAGACACAGACAGTGGGTCAGGGAGCAGCTGCTCCAAACACCTCTTCCCTGGAAAAGAGGAAGTCATCAATTTTTTAAAAATAAACACCCAAAGCAAGCCAGCATCTTCAGAGGCATTCTGTGCGCTTTTCTGTAAAGATTTGAAGCTTTCCACTTCTTTCCTCTCTCTCTCTCTTTCTCTCACACACACACACACTTTCCCCAACCTCCTCCACTCTCTGAGTCCTGTTTGTGAATCTCAACCTAGCAAGCTGCCTTCTGGGATGTCCAGAGTTTGTACTGGCGGCAATACCAAAGAAATGTACTCTTTTCCTATGCTTGTCTGCTTGTGTCTAAACCCAGAGTAATGATTCCTCCTAAATGAATAGGCGGTCGCTCTTTTCTCTCCTGTGGAGCTGATGGCAGTCTCCTTGTCCTGGATCGGGCTGCACCCGTGACAACTCAACATTCTGTTTGTTCATCTTAGAGGAAGCCCTTCTTTGCTTTCATGTGCATCTGTGTTGGAGTGGTTCACTTGTGCTGCGTGGTCTCTCACCTGGGGAGTAACAGCGAGGCTTCTTAGAGGCTTCTCAGTGTCTTGGCAGGAGACGCCAAGGCTGAGCCTGTGCCCTCCCTCCTTCCACAAAGATTCCCTGAGCAGCTGCTGTGTGCTCGGTGCTCTGGGGGAGGTGAAGCTCTTCAGTGAAATGGGTGTCTATCCCCACGGAAAGG